AATCTGTGTAACTCTCAATGCCCTTTGAAGCGGTATGGGGGTGGAGGTGGGGGTGGGGAGATCCACTAGGAGGTCTGAAAGGAAACACGTTAAAAAAAAGTGAAACATTTAAAAAAGTGAAACACAAAAAGACTTAACATTTTGTTTTAGTCTTGGGTCTTAGAATTTGAACAACATTTGGTAGAACAGGTAACAATATTTCTAAAGGAGAGTTTGTTAGATTAAATTTAAGATGAGTGAGATAAGTTGGAATGAATTTATAGTCTAATCACATATGTAATAGACTATAAACTAATAGTTTGTAACTGAATTACAGACAGTTGCAGACACATTGAATTTGTTCATTGAGGTAAGAGATCCTCGATATGTAATCAATTCCTATGGTCATTCTAGAGATGCTCTGCTGAACCGTCCATTTGTGGTAAGGATTATCATGATCCCTTAGGTTATGGGTTTACTTAGCACAAAAATGTAGAGATTATTACCTCGTGCTAATGGTGTACTTTTCTAAGGTCCTTTTCAGTTTACAAGGGACTTGATATGCAGAATCTCACTCCAGTACCATTCAGATGGTAAATGACTTGTAAAAGTTCTCAGAAGTTGCGAGATACAGGCCCCAAGACTTCTTGACTCTGAAGGCATTTGTCCTTACAATGGGCAAATCTTGGCCAAAGGAAAAAATCTACTTTACCTAATGTTTTACACCTTTTATGCCTTTCCTGTTCCTTACAACACATAAAGATGGAGGCAATGTTTTAAAAAAATCCACTAGAATTAAAATTGGGTTTAGAACATACTTAATCTAAACTTTTTTTTTTTTTTTTAATTTTAGGAAAGAGAACCCTCCTCCTGCAACCAATTATTTTAGTCCCAGGGTTGGCAAACTTTGCTTGTAAAAGGCCTGATAGGAACTATTAGACTTGGCGGGCCATATGGTCTCTATTACAACTATTCCACTTTGCTGTTTTCGTGTGAAAGCAGGCATAGATGCTGTGACAGTGAATGGGTATGCTTGAGATCCAGTACAACTGTACTTACGGATACTGAAATTTGAATTTCACATAATTTCTATGTCCCACAAAATAGTACTTAAAAAAATTTTTTTTCAGTTATTTTAAAAGGTAGAAACCACTATGACTCCACAGATCATATCATAACAGGTGTCAGGCTGGACTTGGCCTGAAGACCTTAGTTTGTCAAGCCCTGTTTTAGACCGGGATGGGGGTGGGGAGTGGGGAGTGGAAGTGGTGGGAGCCGGGTGGGGGTTGGGGGGAAGGGAGGCTGCCACCTCTTGACTGTGAAAGGGCAGGAGGAAGGAGGAAGAGAGCAGTGTTTGGCACTTCAGTTGATGATTCTGTGACTGAGACTGAGGTGGCTGGTTCCTCCCGGAAGTGTCTTTGTCTTGACATTTTCCACTCATTTTAGTGAGATTTTGCTGACTTCACTTCATTTCCATATCTCCTATTGAGAAATCTTATGACTCGTGATCATGTGGTTTTAAACCAATGATGGAAACACTCAAGTATGGACAGAGAGACGTTTCGATTTGTTCTCTGATTGTTTGCTGTGGGCAAATCATGGCCTGTAGTTTGTGTCCCCAGGTGAGGTCAAGCTCTATTATCAGCTGGTGTATGTCCCTCACAGTCTAGCCTAGAGCTAAATGGCCGACATTTATGAAATTACATACTTGTTAAAATTGGTGGGGAGGCAACTAGAAATCCTGTTCCCACTATACAGATACTCAGGGGGGCTCAAGTCACACTCTGTAGAGAGTAATGAATACATACTAGTAGGTCCGTGAACATACATGCTGACTGTCCCAGGTGATGGCTTTCCATCCGGCATTCTGTCACCAAAGAGCATCCAGAAACCCAGATTTTGAACTTCTTATTTCTCTTTTTCTTCTTCTTCTTCTTCTTTTTTTTTTTTTTAAATATGGAATGCTTCACAGCTTTGGATGTCGCCCATACCCAGGGGCCACGTGTGTCTTCTCTGTATGGTTCCAAGTTGGAAGACAGTCACAGAAACTGAGTTTCTCTAATCATCCGGCTGATGCATATCCCTGCCCAGGAGACTTGAGGGAGATTTCTCTTTTGACACAGCTCAACCCACCATGAGAACAGTCTCTCTCAGAGAGCTGCTGGCGCTTTGCTGTTGGAAACTGGCAAGGACAGGACCTATTTAAATATTCAGAACCTCAGAAGTTTGGTTCACGGTTAGTCATTTCAAAGGGGCAGTTCCCTTGGCTTGCCTGTGCTCACAAGGCAGAGTTACTTGAACATTAATTCTAGATTGCCCCCTTCCTGTTGTTTTTATGCTTATTTTAGCTTTCCGGTTTTACCTTTCCCAGCCTGAGTCAATAGATGTGGGTGTGGCCATAGACTCAGGATCCTGGATGCTGAAGGGGGTTTGAACTCTTGCCTTCACAGCTTCTACCCTCATGAAGGGCTGGACAAGCTTGCCGCCATCCATTTACAAACCTGTGAATAGACAAGGCACGCGAGAGGCAAAAAGTCACTTCTGGAGAAATTTGTTTAGGCTTGAGGCTAGTGTACCAACCCAAGCATTAGTAAAATCCTATTTTCTACAGTGAAAAACTAATGCCTTGCTGTTGCCTAAGTGAGATCATGCCGGACCAAAATAGAATGCTGAAAAATGAAGCAATATAAACGGTTTTTATTTAGAAAATAAATGGTTCTAAACCAGTAAAATAAATTAAAAAATTCAGATGTTAACCCTAAATTACTATGATTAGTTAAATCCAGAGAGTTTATAAGGTTATAACCGAATACCCTGTATACTTTTAATTTACAAGTTCCAATAATGCGTTTAAATTGCTGTTTTCACCAACATTATATTCATTAATTATATTCATTATATTCATAACATTATATTCATTAATACATATTAATATTTTTTGCAGAAAAATGTAGATGTTATTAAAATGGAGACAGACACAGTTTTAAAAATGTTGAACTTCGGGGCGCCTGGGTGGCTCAGTGGGTTAAAGCCTCTGTCTTCGGCTCAGGTCATGATCTCAGGGTCCTGGGATCCAGCTCCGCATAGGGCTCTCTGCTCAACAGGGAACCTGCTTCATCCAATCTGCCTCTCTGCCTACTTGTGATCTCTGTCTGTTAAAAAAAAAAAAAAAAAAAAAAAAAAAAAAGTTGAACTTCAGGGCGCCTGGGTGACTCAGCTGTTAGGCACTGCCTTCAGGCTGGGGTCATGATCAAGCCCCTGCTCAGGGGGATGCCTGCTTCTCCCTTTTTCACTCTCCCTGCTTGTGTTCCCTCTTTCACTGTCTCTTTCTCTGTCAGATGAAGAAATAAAATCTTTAAAAATAAAATGTTGAAATTCCATAGCTATTTATGTGAGAGACTCATACTATATGGGGGGGGGAGAGAGCCCCTTAAACTCAGTTTATGCTTCTTAGTTTGTCTTTTTTTAAACTGGTATATCAAATCCCTATTATTTTAATGAAGTAGTATGGAGAACTGTAAAAATAATTACTTTTGATACAAATAAATAGATTAATTTTTTTTTCTTAAGATTTTATTTATTTATTTGACAGAGATCACAAGCAGAGAGGCAGGCAGAGGGAGAGGAGGAAGCAGGCTCCCCGCTGAGCAGAGAGCCATCCCAGGACCCTGAGATCATGACCTGAGCTGAAGGCAGAGGCTTAACCCACTGAGCCACCCAGGCGCCCCATAGACTAAATCTTGTTTAAGTCCATACAGTGTAGTCAGAGTTGATGGCAAAATAATGGGAATTGCTGATAACTCTCCAGTCCCTATCAGTTATGTTGTCATTTGGATGGGGATATGAATGAAACTGGTTTATTACAGGTCAACTCTGATCAATTTTTATCTACTAGGCTTTGCTGCAGTGTCCAGAAAAGGATACCGTGTCTTATTGGTATTAATCAGAGATACAGAGCTGGGAGCGTTTCCCTACTTCTGATTTCTTTGATCATGTGTTAGAAGGTCTGGTCACAGGTGTAACCCACCTGGCAGTAGTAGCCTTTCTCAGTGGCCTGACTCTTTCCTCCCCAAATGATTTCATCTGATTAGTGAGTACAGGAGAAGGGTTTGCTGGTTCCTCATTTCCCCTTTCTTCTGGGAGTGGGCTACCACCAAGAAGCTGGCATCTTCCATCCTTTTAGAAGGGAATGCAGGTTATCTGAAGGAGGAGGCTGACCCCACTTAGATGTTACTTGGACTTGATAGGTCTGTCTAATACAGGAAAGTCTAATTATGAAGTGTGCTATTCCACGGGTAATTAGATCTGTTCTCTCTGTTCTCTTTAGGATTATACGGGTAATATTTTGGTCTCTCATCTCCCTCATTTTTCTGTCTCATTTTCCAATAGGCTCAGAAATCAGGCTGGAAAGAGAAGTATTTATAACCCTGCCCCCTTGGGCCTCCAACAGAAGGGGCTCTCAGAGGTTCATTGGTGGAGGCTAATCCCAATAATTTTCTTGAAGCTGTAGTTCGGTTTCATTTCAGAATTACTTTTTTGGACCCATAGAAAGAAAATGCTGCCTTTCAATAGTCTTCATAGGATTTTCTGACCATCATTCAGACCTGAGGGATAAGTTACAGTAAGGGCTTGTCTAAGACAATAGCAACAACAATAAAAAAAGACCTCCGGTGACCAACCTAAGTTGTTTACCAAGTCCTGGAAAACTGGGATGTTACCTGGGATCTAAGACTTTCATTGCCAAGATGAGGAACAGTCGTGGTAAACCAAGACAAGCTGCTTAGCCTGCAGGACACACCTAGCACTGCCGCTGTTCCTTCCAGCTGTGCCGTTTCCTTCAGTACTGAGCGTGCTGTTTGTATTGGTCATGACAAAAAAACTGTCATTCTTGCAGTACTTGCTTATTGAGGCCCTGTGACAGTCAAGCTGAAGGCCTACTCTCTGTGCCCAGTTTTGACAGTAGTGACCACACTCCTAATTCTTCCTCGTCTTTAACTCATTTCTGCTTTTCTTCTTTGCAGGTCTGTGATTCCGACACCATGCTTGACCCTGCCTCCTCTGTGGAGATGGTGAAAGTTTTAGAAGAAGACCCCATGGTTGGAGGTGTCGGGGGAGATGTCCAGGTGCATATGGCTTCACTTCCTTCGTGCCTCCCTTTTAGATACACTCTTACACACTGATTCTTTGCACGAATATTCACTACACCAAACTCTTGCCAGATGTTGCTTTGGTGATAGAGACCCATGAGTATGTGCCTTGGACCCACTTTATTGCCTCTTTTCTTTCCTTTTCTTTTTTTTAAAAAGATTTTATTTATTTGACAGAGATCACAGGTAGGCAGAGAGGCAGAGAGAGAGGGGGGGAAACGGCGCCCTGCTGAGCAGAGAGCCTGATGTAGGGCTCGATCCCAGGACCCTGAGATCATGGCCTGAGCTGAAGGCAGAGTCTTAACCCACTGAGCCACCCAGGCGCCCTGTCTCTCTTCTTTTCTACATTGAAAAAAAAAAAAAAAAAAGGATTTTTTTTTTTTTTTTTTTTTTTTTTTTTTTTTTTTACCCTGGAATGTAACCCTTGTTAGGTATGGCTGATAAGTTACATAAGTTATATATAATTAATTTCAATGTGTAATGATCTCCATATCTTCTTGAACCATAACTTAATGTTCTGGTAAAATCTGATGTTGGGGGCAGCTGGGTGGCTCAGTGGGTTAAAGCCTCTGCCTTCCGCTCAGGTCATGATCCCTGGGTCCTCGGATCAGGGAGCCTGTTTCCCCCACTCTCTCTGCCTGCCTCTCTGCCTACTTGTGATCTCTGCCTGTCAAATAAATAAAATCTTAAAAAAAAAAAAATCTGATGTTGGAGGTCATTTAGTTGTGAAGGTAAAAAAATGGAAGTGCTGAGGATGGATTATATATTTGTACCTATGTATTTAAAAGATGATTAATATATGGTTGATTAAAAATTCAAGTTGGAACACAAAAGAAGAAAGGAGAAATAGCAACTTAGATTTATACTGGTAAGAAAGGCAAAGGAACAAATAATTAAGTGGGTTTTCTGATTATGACTTATTTCCCACTTATAATTATTTATTTCCCATTATTTGCTAAAAATGGAGAAACAATGAAGTCAATATTAATGAAGGCAACTTGGAATCTGTGGGATGGGAAATGCACATATATGTGAATATGTGATCACATGTGAAGATTAAAATGAGTTCTTTGCAAATGCATGACCAAATTTTAGCAAAAGGTGAGAAGCCCATGGAAACTTAACTTTAAAAATTAGGTATTGTGTTGCTATGTAACCCATTTTATACGTGCATGGAGATAATGAAGGCAAAGACAATGCCTGGAATAGACAAACAGCCTGGTGATAAAAGAGGAAACGTGCAAAATCCAGATGAGAACCGTGCAAAATTGAGATGGAGGAAAGAATTTAGAAATACTGCCAAGAAAAAGCTGATAACTTTCAATAGCCTTTACATAGAGCATTATTTCAGGACTTAAGTTTTGGGGAGAGGCCAGAACAAACAGTTTAATCACTGGCATTGCATAAAGGAGGGCAAGAAGGAGAAAGAAAATTAATGGAATTGAATGAGTTGGAAATTAACCAGAACAGGAGAGAATAGGGCTTAAAAACCTTCAAATCTTAGATGGTAGGAAAGAGTGGGAAAATTTAGGATCTGAGAACTAGAGCCTAAAAACACGCTCAGTATCACAGCATAACAAGAACAACAACAACAAAAGCCCTGGGCAAAAAAGAGGACAGGGTCATGTAAGAGAATAATGGTTGCTCATCCAGGAGTCCCAACACAGGCACACAATTTATCAGATTAATCTAGTAACACAGAATCAGAGAAAATAAAAAACAATCATGTCAAAAATAAGAAGGATGCTAATACAGGAGGATCAAACAACAAACCTCACTTTAGGTAGTAATTTCGTGATGATGTGGTTTTTGTTGGTATTTTAGTGGGGGCCTATGTTTTACTTATTTGTTTTCTTTTTTTTTTTTTTCCTTCTTGCAGATTTTAAACAAGTACGATTCCTGGATCTCCTTCCTCAGCAGTGTGAGATACTGGATGGCTTTTAATATAGAAAGGGCCTGCCAGTCTTATTTTGGGTGTGTCCAGTGCATTAGTGGACCTCTAGGGATGTACAGAAACTCCTTGCTGCATGAATTTGTGGAAGACTGGTACAATCAGGAATTTATGGGCAGCCAGTGTAGTTTTGGTGATGACCGGCATTTAACGAACCGAGTGCTGAGCCTGGGCTATGCAACAAAATACACAGCTCGATCCAAGTGCCTTACAGAGACACCGATAGAGTATCTCAGATGGTTAAACCAGCAGACCCGTTGGAGCAAGTCATACTTCCGAGAGTGGCTGTACAACGCGATGTGGTTTCATAAACATCACTTGTGGATGACCTACGAGGCTGTGATCACTGGATTCTTCCCTTTCTTTCTCATTGCGACAGTCATCCAGCTCTTCTACCGGGGTAAAATTTGGAACATCCTCCTCTTCTTGTTAACTGTCCAGTTAGTAGGTCTCATAAAATCGTCCTTTGCCAGCTGCCTTAGAGGAAATATTGTCATGGTCTTCATGTCCCTCTACTCAGTGTTATACATGTCAAGTTTACTTCCCGCCAAGATGTTTGCAATCGCAACGATAAACAAAGCTGGGTGGGGCACGTCTGGAAGGAAGACCATTGTTGTCAATTTCATAGGACTCATTCCAGTATCGGTGTGGTTTACAATCCTCCTGGGTGGTGTGATTTTCACCATTTATAAGGAATCTAAAAAGCCATTCTCAGAATCCAAGCAGACAGTTCTCATTGTTGGAACGTTGCTCTATGCATGCTATTGGGTCATGCTTTTGACGCTTTATGTGGTTCTCATCAATAAATGTGGCAGGAGGAAGAAGGGACAACAGTATGACATGGTGCTTGATGTATGATCTTACGTTGTTTGACGTTTGCAGTCACACATGCAGACACACACAAAACCTTAGTTCCTCTCGGGACTGTACAGTATTGTGGCATCCAATAATGCCACCAAAGGAGACACATCACTGCTGCTGGGACTTGAACCAAGACATGTCTCTGTGGGTTTATTTTGATTCAGCCAAAGTAAAACAAGACATCAATGAGAAGAAACTCAGATTTAACCTGTTATTTCTATGAAAATGGGAAGCATTCTTTGTTTATGCACTTTTTCCTTATGTACATCTGCCTAACAGTGTTTGCCCTATATACCTCACTAGCCATGCTTTATGTGGGTTATCATGGAAGAAAAGGATTTTGGAAACTCAAGGAAAAGTTCTTTCAACATACACAACCTAACTTATGGACTGTGTCGATAGCTAATTTTTTTTTTTTTTAAGAAAGGATTTTCTGTTTAACTCTACCAAATGAAATGCCAAAGGAAATTTCAAAGGCCATTGGCTGTGCTGTATTTTTATATAATTGTACTGTGTTTTAAAATTTTGTATGCCGATTTTTAAAACAAATTTTGCATATTCTATATTTTACTTCTCTGCCAAAATACACCTGTTCTTTTTTATTATTATTAAAATAGGTTCTGAAAAAATTCATACTTAAAAAAAAAAACCTACCCAAAATGTGAAGCGTGGTTGACTGATGTTGTTCATGATAGAAAGAATAAAATGTTTCTCTCTCTCTCTACCTTTTAACATGGAATAGTTTATTTCTGTGAAAAATATTTAAACTTTCAATATTTTAACTTTTTTTTTTTTTCATTTCTTTTAGAAAAGGCCTTTACACTTTGGGAGTAGAAATACATACTTAGGTGCACACACACAAAAGGAAATCATTGAAAATCAAGGCCAAAGGGGGTAGAAAAGTGCAATTTTTCGTAAGATTTTTTTAAAAAGGGGGAGTAATGCTAGTCCTTGAAAGAAAACACTGGGCAAATATGGAGATTCTGGCAGTGTTTTCTCAGGCTGAGTAAAAGGGAAAGTGGAAGAAATTACCTGTGTTATTTGGACAAGTACAATGCAGTTCATCGTTTGTTCTGCGGCCTGAATTCACCAGATCCCTGTCAACAAACTGAACATAATTGACCTGTCTCTCTTTCAGCCTGCCAGTTCACTTTCCATGTTACTAGAACTTTTACACGGGTGAGTTGCCTACAATTGTAAAAGCTTACAGATTACAAAATTGGCACATTAAACTTGTCTTCTCCTTCCCAGGGAGGGTATTTTTTTTCTGAATTCATATAGATAATTGCTCCATTTGTCCTGTTACTGGCCTCCATAGATAGGTTTACATAATCAAAATAATACCCAGGTTTAAGAAGTGTATCAAGAAGTGGCACATGAAAAAGGATGAACCAGGTTCCCTTAACCTGGCTAATTTCACTACTCCAAGGGCCTCAGTTATCTGGTTTGACTTTTGATGTGACCCATCTTGCCTTGTAGCTGGTGCTGTGTAGACCTGTGTTAGAAACAATCAAACACATGAGTTGTTGCATAAAATGTGTTGTGATGAAGTGGAGTGTGAATGTGGAGACGTGTTCAACCACATGCTTCTGCCACGTGCTTCCACGTGCTTACTCTCCATGCAGACGCCTTGTTTCATCTATTCTGCCTAAGAAAAAGCTGCACATTCTACCTTTGGACTTCAAAAAGGTACATAACCATTCTGCAACTCAGACTCACGGATGGGAGAGTTTGTGGGAAACAGAGCACAGCATGCCAGTAAATGAAACTAAAACTTGAGTTTGCCTTTTTAACTATTTATGTTCTAAGTTAAGCTTTGATAACTTTCAAATGTCAAATTCTCTCATTCTTTTAAGAGATTGAATTAATTGCCTGTATTTATTTTAGCAATTATTCAATGTATTTCCAGTATAGGATGTATAGTATAATTGATTTTTTTGTAAATAAAATATTTTTGATAAGAGCATTGCCTTTTTTTCTAAGGGAAGGGGGCATTTCAAACAAAACAAAAGCTTTGTTTTCCTGATTTGTAGTAGAATAGATTTTCAAGAATGGGGTATGCAGAAAACAAACAAGCCTGGTCAAAGATAATAAAAGTCACTTATATTACTAATCATGAAGCAGAAATCCCCTGAATTGGTGTGGTTTGGAAATCTGGAAAACAGATACAGAGAAAGATTCAATTCATATAAACTTTGCCTTTAATCTTAACCACCTACTTCCCTTGGAAACAGCTCAAATTTAGACAAACTTTTATTATAGTAATTTATCAGCGTGTTTGGGGGGGATACATTTCCAGAAAAGTCATAATCAAGTTTTTTTATATTTATAAATAATAGCAATATCTTAAAGTAACTTCAAAACCAATAGAGAGCAATAATTAAATGAATTTGGGCATTTCCAAACAGTGGAACATTACTACCCATTAAAATATCCTCAAGATACGAGAAATTGGGCAAACGTTACATTAAAAATATATAACCATTTTGTACAGTAACATCCCAATTTTGTAAAAATACAAATGTTTAAATGTGGTTATCTCTATTTTTAGGAATATCACCGATTTCTATGCTTATAGATTTTTGTATTTTCCAAATACCATGATCCTGTATTATTTTGATAATCAGAAAAAGGACAGTAAGTATTCCTTTTTTTTTTTTTTTTAAGTGGATTGGGACATCTAATAGTGTTTCCTGTTTTGAGGAGCTTTCATGGTAATCCAATTTGCCACTCATCCCTCAAATTCATCTTATTTCCCAATTTTCTTTTATTAATTTGATTCCTAAGGCTCCCTTGTTACTTGGGTACAGTTAAATTATCTGTCTATAGAGATATAAATTATATACATATATACAAGAGTATATAAATTATATATAAACAGTATATGTATAAACAGTTTATGAATACACATACAGTAGCCACTGAATATTATTGCCATCTAGTGATGGTTCTAATCCCAACTGACTGATAAAGTCACTCGGTGCTTTTTAAAAGGTTGGCTAACTTCATGGAAAGGGCTAGTGAGTGTGTGCTCTAGGCTTTTCCTGGCCATGTGGTCAGTCATGGGACTACTCACTCCGCTCCTGCGGCACAAAAAGTGTCCACAGGCATTATATGAACGAATGCGTGTGCCCATGTTCCAATAACCCTTTACGGACATCGAAATTTGAATTTGTAATTTTCATGCATTATGAAATCTTTCATATTTTTTAGTCATTTAAGTATTTTAAAACCATACCAAGTTTATCTGCATTACTCAGAAAGGCAATGAGCCAGGTTTGGCTATGGATTAATGGCCCTTGTTCTTTAGGAATCTGCTGATTTATTTGTACCATTAAATACTCAAACCAACACCTAGTTTTTGCGCACCTACCAGGTGTCAGGGACTGCCAGGAGCACAGTGTATAGACCGGCTGTTTTAGTTCTATCAGTCTAAAGAAGGGGTTCCACTATGATTGCTGTTTACGGGTGAGGAATCACAGGCTTAAAGATTGAGTTCGTACCTTGAGCTCAAACAGCTAGTAAATTGTGATGGTGGAACTTAGGGGCAGGCGTTCTGATGTCAGACTTAACCCTTTGAATAGGTGATTACTCAGTGTGCAATCCATGGTCCAGCAACACCAGCATCTCCTGGGAATTTGTTAGAAATGCGAAGGCATGACCCCACTCCAGACCCACCGAATCAAAATCCCAGGCCAGCCCCCAGAACTTGTTTAATGAAATCCCCCAGATGATTTCCTCACCCTGAATCTGAGAAGCGTTGCCCTAATCTAGGATCTTCTGTTTTCCTCAGACGAAGCATCGTCTCTGTGACAACTGTCATTCAAATATTAGCATTTTTCTTTTGAGCTATTCAAATATGGATGTTGACAGACACCTGGTTTTAAGGAAGCTTACTGAACACCTGTCTTGAGCAAGAAATCAAAAGGTGGACTCAAAGAGCTTATAACTGAGTAAAAGGGATATGATAATTACACAAACATTCAGTGCAAAATCGAATAATAAAGGTGTGAAGAATGGCATGGGGATATATAAGGATATATAAGTGAATGATTAGCTCTGTTAAGGTAGCCTTCAAGGTGGTGTGGTGTGGGGGTGATTCTTTAAGGAGGTACAGATTTCATGGGGACTTTTCAGATTAAAAGAATATGGGTAAAGTAATAAAGGTATGATTTTGGTATATGTTCTTTTCACAGAATTAACAAGTTTAATTAAGGTGGGGTTGGTATTTAACCAAGAGGGCAAACTAAGCTATAGAAAGTACATTTGAGGGACACCTGGATGGCTCAGTTGGTAGAGCATGTGACTCTTGATCTCGGCATTGTGAGTTCGAGCCCCACATTGGGCATAGAGATTGCTTAAAAATAAAATCTTAAAAAAAATACAATTGAAGGGTATCTCCCATAATCCAACTGGGAGAAGTACTAGAATGAGATGTTTCAATATGATAGGGCACAGGGTATGTAGATAATTTTGAACGGGGTGCTAAAAATACCACAAACCAAACTACATGATGGAGGTTTGGATTTGAGTGTCCCACATAAACGAATATGATTTCGTTGAAGTTTGCTCTTCCAGGCACTTGACTGCTTTCTTCCCATTCCCTCCAGCTCTCCCTCCAGTTGCCCAAACACCATCTTTAGCTTCTTTTATATACCCTGTAACCAGCTGGTCGCAACAACTGTTTGATTTCCTGCTTGCCATGACACTCAAATTCCTCTCTCACCCAAGTTAAGACAATCTCCATCTCTTACCTGAATGGTGAAGATACCTCAACTACCTCTTTTCCTCATTTCTGTTCCATCCAACGGATTCTCTACATTTCTGTTACAATTCTCCTTCTAAGACCTAACTCTGAATACAAAGGTTTAATTTCATCTCATTGTCAACAAGAGAAAACCATTCAATCTCTTCGAGAACCTTCAAGCCTAATGATTGATCTGTTTCTACCCTTTCTTGGCAGGCCTTAATCCTACTCTTTTTTGCAGTCCTACTAAAGTAGATTGCTTTGCTCTACCTTGTACACATTTTGCCCTTTACCTTAGTCAGCTTTCTTTCCTGCAGAAATTCTCAGAAACCTCAACATGCTGATGATGTTTTATGAGTCTGCAAGGAAGGCCCATCACATACAGAAATTTCTACACTTAGACAACTAGGGTGTCCGTTCCACAGGGAAGTGAGGTCACATCTGGATTAACATTGTTATCCTGCAGAATTTGTGTAGGTAACACTAGTATATAATTCCTGACACCGAAGGTTGGAATTGTTTTCACTCAAATCTAGGAAAAACATGCAACGCTTAAGCTCCTTATTTCTTGAGTAATCAGCACCAGGTGTGGAGACCACAGGAGTGAAGCGGGGAGGAGCCTTCAGGTTCCTTCCGCTGGGCCTTTGAGCCACAGAGACAGGCTCCTCTCAAGGAGCTCAGTTTGTCCATTTGCTGTCACAAAGCTCTCCCCACTATGGCTTCAACAAACCTAGGTGACTTGTTTTAGCTCTGCAGTTCAGGGCAACCAGGAGTTCAATCCTGGTATGTTGGGGAAATGTGCAAAGACTAGGTGAACCTAACCTTTGCAACAACTTGGCATCGTATAGGGCACTGACTCAGAAGAAGCACATCTGTTTCACAAATTGAAGAAAAAGTCGCCTTTTATATTGGGTTGAGTTGGGTTGTCGAGTCGAAAAATCGAATACAATAATTTTTTAACTAGATCAGGTGAGGATCGCAATTGTACACATTCACTCAGAAATAAGGGAGGTGGGAGCGTGTCATGTAAGGACACATCCCACTTTTCTAGACAACCCGTGGTATGTCTCTTCCAGTAAAACCCAAAGAACACTGATGAGAGTTTAAAGGAAATAAAAATCTGGGAAGAAGGATTTCTGGGATCAAAGTTGAAGGGCTGTTTAAATGAAATTATCAG